CATTTAAAAAAAAAAAAAGGTTGAGTATCAACCATTTCAAGAGGTCACAATATGACCAAGAACCTTTAGTAGTGAAGGAAAAAGTCCAAGGTGCACTGAAGACATTGGCAGAAAAAAAGCCTCCAGGAATTGATGGGCTACAGATGGAAATCTTTTAACAAACTGATGCAGGCACTCACTCATCTATGCCAAGAAATTTGCCAGACAGTTACCTAGCAATTGATAGGAAGAGATCTAGATTTGTGCTTATTCCAAAGAGAAATGACCCAACAGAATGCGAAATTTACTGGACAGTATCATTAATATCACATGCAGGTAAAATTTTGCTTATTGTTGTTAAGCGCTTTTGTGTCACTTCCTACCCATAGAAACCCTGTATAGGGTTTCCAAGGATTGGCTGGTGAGCTTGAACCACTGACCTTGTGGTTCAAACAACATTGCAGTACGGCACATTAGCGCACAGTACCACATCAGGCCTCCATTGCAGCAGTACTGTGAAAGAGAGCTGCCAGAAATCCAAGCCTTAGCTTTTGCCTGATCCTTTGGAGTCCTCCAATCCAACCCCACTTCAAAAGGAATTTGGCCTTTTGTTCCTTTTGTGGGTCTGTGTTTGGCTAAAGGCATAGTAAGGGTTGTGGGGCACAGAACCTTCTGGGCAAGGCATCTTCCAGTAATGCTCTGCAGGTGGTACAGCAGTGAGCTGTTCAGACCAGTAAAGAGTTGCTAAGTGGAGCACCAATAAGCATCCTTATGCAGACTGAATTGTATCCCCCAACCCCAGTCCCAAAATGTGTTATGAACCCTAACCTTTACATGTAGTTGTAATCCCATTTGGGACTGGACTGTCTTTGTTATGTTAATGAGGTCAGATGGATGTGAGAATGTCTTGAATCTACTTCTTTATAAGAGATGAAGCATGATGCAGAAGCCACAGGAGATAAAGAGACAAGTACCTTCCTTCACACCAACAGAGAGAGGAAACCTTTCCCTGAAGCCAGTGCTCCCAAACTGACAAAATACTTTTCTGTTTGTTAAAGCCACCCATTGTGGTCTTTCTGCTACAGAAGCACTAGAAATCTTAGAGAGCCCTCCATGAAGCCATTTGTTGGGGACTAGATAGCGTAGTGATTATGTATTGGGCTGCCAACCTAAAGGTCAGCAGTTCGAAACCACCAGCAGTTCCACAGGAGAAATACGAGGCTTTCTGCTCCCATAAAGATTTATAGCCCCCAAAACCCTATGCTAGGTCACTGTAGAAGTCCTGGTATGGTGCTGTGGGCTAATGTGCCAGACTGCAAAGTCGTTTGAACTGCAAGGTTGGTGGTTCAGGCTCACCAGCTGCTCCTTGGAAACCCTATACAGGGTCGCTATGGATCAGAATCGACTTGATGGCACTTAACAACAACAAGATCACTGTAAGTTGGAACCGACTCCATGGCACACCACCATCACCAAGAATTGTACTAAGAACAGGCTGGTATAGGGCAAATCTATTAGTTAACTACCCTATTTGTACTGTCTCTATCTGAAACCAGCTCTCCCTCTTCTATATGCTAATAACATGGCTTTCTCTAATATTAATAATGATAATAATTAATATTTAATGATAATTCCCTTTAAGCCAGGCCCTGGGCTAAGTGCTTTGTCTTCATTTGATCACTGAATACTCAGAAGTCCTTGGAGGAGGTTCTGGGATAGCCCCATTTTACATACAAGGACACAGAGCTAAGAGACGTAAGCCAACTTGGCCAAGGCCACAGTATTGGGGAAGATCAGAGCTAGCATTTGAACTTGCATCCACCTGGTACTGGACTGCAGCAGTACTGTGTGTGCAGCCCCAGCATTCCCACTTTAGGACAGGAATCCCCTCTTTCTCCTACTGTACTCCCCAGCACCATGCTCTATAGGGGATGGGTGCTACCTGGTGGAGACAGCCATTCAATTCAAGCTCATGCACCAGCTCTGCCCAATGGTCAGTCCCTCTCCCCCGACAGCCAGAAGCTGATATGCTAAATAGTTGGAGTAAGGAGTTCTGATGCCATAGTGAGTTGGGCTATTAACCATAAGGTCACAAGTTCAAATCCACCAGCTGCACCATGAGACAAAGATGAGGCTTTTTGCTCCCATAAAGATTTACAACCTTGGAAATGCTATGGGGTGGCTATGAGTTGAAATAAATTGAATGGCTGTATATCATTGTTGTTGGTAAGTGTCATTGAGTAAGTTCTAACTCGTGGTGACTGTACAGGATTTCTGAGAAGTGTCTGGTGAGTTTGAACTGCCTGGTTATGAATCGGGCTGCTAACCTCAGGGTCATCAGTTCGAAACTACCAACTGTTCCGCGGGAGAACGATGAGGCTTTCTGCTCCCGGAAAGATTTACAACCTTGGAAACCCTGTACAGGATCACTATGAGTCGGAACCAACTCCACGGCACATAACAACAACACCACCTGTGGTTAGCAGCCCAGTGCTGATCCTAAAGTGCCACAGCAGGATTCTGGCGAAACGGAGCAAGGCCTCTTTTTTAATGTTAGACTAAGTAACTCAGCTGGGAAAACCAAGAGTAGGTAGGTCTAAGCTTAGATAGATTTTGAAATCCGATAACTTTGGTTCAAGTTCTAACTCTTGACATTTTTTAAACTGTGTGTCCCTGAGCAATTCGCTTCCTTTTAAGCCTCAATTTGTTGTTGTTGTTAAGTGTCATAGAGCTGGTTCCAACTCATAGTGACCCTGTATAGAGTTTCCAAGGAGCAGCTGGTGGGTTTGAACTGCCCACCTTGCAGTTTAAACCAACCTTTTGGTCCAGTGCTTATGCTACCGTGTGCCATGGTACATCTATAAAATGAGGTTAAATGGAACTTCACTTACAGGGTTATTTGAAAGAATTAAGTAAGTTCATACCAGTTGCCATCAAGTCAATTGTGACTCATGGTGACCCTTCATGTGTCAGAGTAGAACTGTGCTCCACGACTGTCAGGGATTTATTTTTCAGAAAGAGATCCCCAGAGCAAAGCACCTCTTTGTAGACTTGAACCTCCATCCTTTCGGTTAGCAGCTGAGGGTGTTCAATGTATGCACTACTCCAAGAAAGTTCACAGCTAACATTTATTGAGCATGTCACCAGGCGTGTGACAAGCATACTATAATTACATATACATGCTGTTGTTGTTGTTGTTAAGTGCCATCAAGTCAGTTCCGACTCATAGAAACCCTGTATAGGGTTTCCGAGGAGTGGCTGGTGAGTTTGAACTGCTAACCTTGCAGTTCAAACCGACCTTCAGTCTCCTCAATAATTTTGTGGGGTATTGATGAAGAAACTGAGGCACAGAGTGAGATGACTTGTCCAAATGGTAGAAGTAGATTTAACCCTAGCAGCCTGGTTCCAGAATGCCTGCCCCTTTACCCGTGTCTGGTGGGCACACCAACGACCAGCAAATCACAGGCTTAGGAAAGCTCAACCAGTGCTAGCCATTATCACCATCTATCTGAACTTCACTCTGTGGTGACAAGAAACTCCAGTGTCTTCACATCACCAGCAACGCCCCCCCACCCCCCCCCCAACAGCAGCTGGTCCTCCCTCACAGGCACACCACAGCTATGCTCTCCAAGTCCCCACAGACCTTCACATCTGCCCCTACCTGAGTTAGCGAGGGCCAGGGCCTTGAGCGTCACAAACTCTTCCTTCTCCACCTTGAGTTTCTTGTACCTGCGCACCAGCTGCAGGATGGCCCGGTAGAGCTCTAGCAGCCCTGCCAGGCGGGAGTGCTCCTCATCCATGATGTAGTCCTCGGCGTACACTAGCTTGTCATCATAGGGCAGCGAGCGGTACACAATGCCCAGGATGAGAATCTCCATCCAGGCGCTCTGCAGCAGGCTCATCTGGTCCCCCAGGGACAGGTTCGAGAAGCCTGCAGGAGAGGACACAGGGAGGGTTCTAATAGTCAGCTTCGCTGTCAACTTGACAGGACCAGGATTTCCAGAGGTTTAGCAGTTGAAATGTGCTTATTCCCATGGTGATGAAACCTAATACAGCCATAGATAACTCCATGATGATTGGCTACAAGCAGCCAATCCATTAAAGGGATGCTTCCTTGGGGGTGTGGCCTGCTCCCAAAATAATGGACATGTGGGACTGCTGGGGGCTGGGGACTTTACAATTGTAAGCCATTTCCTTGATATAAACTCTTTCTATATATACATATATATGTTTCGCTGGTTTTGCTTCTCTAGAAAAGCCAGCTTAACTCAAGGGTGAGTACCATGTGAGCAGGTCAGCAATGCTCTGGGGTCAGCTCAGGGTTGAGGGTGGCCCCAGGCACCTTGGGATCCTACTAGGGAGATCCTCCCTGCTTCCAAGAAAGACCTGGAATTCACGGGAAAGACTTATGTAACAAGACCTCTGTCAATGTTGACAGTTGTTAATATCATTATTATTGTTAGTATATTTCAAATGTCTGTGATGGCTTTCTGATTAATTAAACGCATGTGTACTTTAAAGAGCTACTAAATTCATAAATAGACTTAGAAGATGGCAGTACAGGCCGCTGCCACTCCAGAAGTTTCTAGGCTCCCCCTCTCTGCTCAAACTGGAGGGGGTTTGGTGTTATGAAGCAACACCTGAATCTCAAGGCAGTCTCAGAGACTCTGGGCTCAACCAGGGACGAACACTCAGCTGCTCTCTGCCATAGCCAAGGACGAAGCCCCACTGAGCATAGACAGGGCTGGGGCAGGGCCCTTCCTCTTATGACAGCCTCCCTCTGCCCACACCATCACTCTCCTCCTAACGATGACCAGTAGTCCTGTATTCAGTGAACTCAGGACTTTCCCCCTCCCTGCTGCTGAGGATGAGGCTGGTCCTGTAGTGAAGAAGGCTATGGCAGGGATGGCTCTAGATTGGAGACTCTGCCTTGTCCACTGTGTTCTGGAGAGGGCTTGGGTTTTAGTTCTCACTTCCTGTTTCCCAGCTGTTGGCTTTGTCAAAGGCACAAAACTACTTTAAACCTCAATTCCCTCTGTGAAATGGGTATATAGGAATGCCCACTTCAGAGAGTGGCCGTGAAGTCTAAGACAAGGGTTTACTGACCATAGAAAGCATTTACTGAGCATTTAATTTTACTATTATTAAGTTTTCATCTGTAAAACAGAAATAATATGTTGGAATCATATCAATTGTGGGCTCAGCTTGAGCTAATTCAATTAACTGCTTGATTTAGAAGAAAATGAAGGGTGGGAAGGGCAGAGAGGAAGGAAGGAAGGAAGGAGGAGATGGAAACAAGGAATATTCAAATATCTTGACCATAAAATAGAAGCCAGTAACCTCGCTGGGAGCTCACCAGAAATTCTGATGCTGGAGAAGAGAACAGACAGTTCTAGATTTATTGGAAGAAGGACAAGTATCCACAAAACCACTACGCTAAATACAAAACAATAATGGCAAACCACTGATTACTATAAGAACAAGCAAGTTGCTTGCCCAGGAGACATCAAGACAAGTGGTCGAGTACCCTCAGTGCAAACCCCCTTCCAAGACTAAGGCTCAATGGGAATACACACTCTGACTGGTGACCACGCTCGTCACGGATAAGGGGAAGTGAGGGGAAAACAGCAATGAAGCTGCGAGCTAAGCCCTACAACATTTAATAGACTCCTGTGAACCCAGGTGGAGAGCTGGTTGGCTACCAGTGTGGCTATACCTGGGGATTCTTGGGCCCAGAGTCAGTGACATAGCCACGGAGGACTAGAGTGGAGAGTGAAGCATCCAGCTGATAAGAAGAGACAAGAACACCGACACTTGCAGATAATACCCACTGGACGTGGCTTCAATGACTGGATGATCAGAGCTCAACCAGAAGAAGAAAGAAGAAGGGGAAAAGGAAGGTAGAATCTCCACTGTCTAGGCAGGGCTGATGAAAGGAAATGTGGATAGGTCTCTTGTGATACAGTAGTGAAAAATTGTTATCAGGAATAATTGTGAGGGTTGGAAATGTAAAGGTAGATGTTTTGTAGCAAGAAGGGGAGTGATTAACTTTGCAGTCTAGGAGTGGAGTTCCCTGGGACCATCAAGGGAGAAGAGCGGAGAGCGGGACCCTACCCAGAGAAGCAGTGATGCCAGAGATGGTGGCTGAGATGATGACATGGAGAGATGGAGTGGCTGGGGACTTTAGACCCAGAAAGGGAGAGGGGCTATGTGCTTACGATGGGGGTGGAGTGGGGGTGGGGGTGGGGCACAGGCTTGCAGGGGATACCCTTTGGTTGGTTGATGATGCATGGAGGGGACTGCAACCATGGCAATGAAACAATATACGACAGGATGAATGTAAAGCTAATGTTCTCCCATGTAAACTATCACATAATTCACAATAAAACATTAACAAACAAACAACAACAACAACAAAAATACTACGCTATATGTCACGAGCAACTTACTGGTTTCCAGGGTCACTTGGCCTAAGTCAGATCTGAGCTGACTTAGAACCTCACCCTGCTGCCCCATGTGGGTGCTGGGAGGAAGGAGATGAAGCCCTGAGCACACATCTTAGCCACGGTGGCAGTAATGGCTGAGGTTACGATTACTGTTGTTGTTGGCACTCTATTGACACTTCCTTCTCAACGTGGGTCCTGCTTGGAGGCCTGGGTTTCTGGAATGGATTCTGTAGGGTCCCTCTCATTTGCTGTCCTCTGTCTCAAAGTGCCATTGCTGCCCCCCATGTTCCACCTACTGCATGCCTATTCAACTTAGGGGCTCAAAGTCCCCTTCACTGGGCAGGCTGCCCTTTGCCCACAAGCATCCTCCTAGTCTGACCATCGTGGCTTCAGGTCCCAAGCTCTACAACCTGGGCCTTCGGTCAGCACCTGGCTTCTGGCACCCATCGTGGTCATCAGCAAGAGCTGGGGTGATTACACTGGGACGACAGGGGGTAAGCTTTGATTGATGCATCACCCTGGGACAGAGACTGTGATGTGGAGGGGTCAGGGGGTCTGTGTTCTTGTCCTGATTCCACACATGGGATATGGTGTGTGGCTGCCTGGGGTGGCAGGGAAGCTGGGAGGTAATAATAACAGACAGATAGAAATGGACATCCAATTTCCCTTATCAGGCCTCTGAGGAAGAGAGAGGCCTTGGGCAACATTAATTAACAGATACCAATCAGCCAGCACATGAGGGTGTGCATCGGAAGGCAAGTGTTGGACTGGACTCGAGGGTCTAAAAGCAGACAAGCTGGGAGGGAACATGTAGGAGGTGGACAGAGGAGAAGTTAATAGACAATTGAATTGGAAGGTGGCCAAGAGAGGGTGAAGGTAAGAGCTGGGCTTCTGAAAATGAAGGAGACAAGACCACCCCTGGGAGCTGTGCGATCCCACAGGTAGGAACATGAGAAGGCTGTTACTGGTGTGTTTCTGCACCTGCAGCCAATTGGTAAATGCTTATTGAGCACTTACTATATGCAAGGCCCTGGGGAAAGCACTGCCTTCAGGAAGGGAAGACTCCTCATTTGTATCAAGGATCACAAGTTGCAACAGTTAGAAGAGCTCAGTGAGGCAGGGATCAGAAAACACACAACAGGGGGAATTAAGCCCAAACAAGAGCATTGGTGGGGCTTTGCTGAAGACAGCCGGGACTGAGATCTAAGGATGGGTTGGAGCTCTCTCTGCAGGGTGGCACAGGTCTATCTGCCTGCAGTGTATCTGGCTGATGCACCATTTCCCATCCCTGCGTCCTGAGCTCCCAGGGAAGGTGTCTATCTCCAAGCCTCACTGCCTAGGACTGTGCCTGGGACAAAATGGGCGTTCAGATCACTCATGCTGCAGAGGAAATGATGGACACACACCACCGGGCCTTGTTTCCAGGAGCCAAGAAAATATGCCCAAGAGATTCAGTTAGTCTTTGGGGCTCAAGTTCAGACGTAGCTAGCTGCCTTTGCTCGTGGTATATGTCTGTAAGAGACAACCCTGCCCTTTCGGGAAGGAAAGAGTGATGTAGGAAACGCTGTGACTCTGCCAGGGGAACCACAGGAAGGCCTGGACCCAGACTGCTTTGCCAACCTAAGTAATGGACTTGGACCCTACTCTCTGACCATCTTCAACAGGAAGTAGAAATAGCTTTGAAAATCTGAATGCACACTTCCAAGCACTGACTAGAGTAGACAGCCCACTTCATTTTTTGAAAGAAAGGGGCAAGCATTTGTTATGTCCTAATATCTTAAATACAGAGCCCTGGTGGTATAATGGGTTAAGCATTGGGCTGCTAACCACTGGCTTACTGCAGGGGAAATATGAGATTGTCTGTTCCCATCAATATTTAGTCTCGGGAAGCTCACGGAGCAGTTCTGCTCTATCCTAGGGTCACTGTGAGTCAGAACTGACTCAACAGCAGTAAGAGAGAGGTGTTGCCACTGCCAAGTGCTCTGCAGAAGAAAGGCCTGGTGATCTGCTTCCACAGAGATCACAGCATAGGAACCCGATAGGTCAGTTCTACACTGTCACATGGGGCCCCGTGACTCCATGATATATAAAAGTCTATATATGGAGTCCTGGTGTGGCACTGTGGGGTAATGCGGTGGACTGCAAAGTTGGTTTGAACCACAAGGTCACTCCTCGGAAACCCTACACCCAGGGTCGCTATGGGTCAGAACTGACTCGACAGTATTTAACAACAAACAACAACAACATGAGTATATATACACAACAGATAACAGCCTACATAAACTGGCCTATGGGGCAGTTGCACTCTGTAACAAGGTTACTAGCAACTGGTATTGATTTGATGGTACCCAATAACAACAACATATCTTAAATGGCTTAAATATTTCTCTAATATTAGACAAAAGAAACAAAGAAAAACGGCTGCCTATCGGAGGTAGGAGGGGTAAGGGTAGGAGGGATAGGCAGGAGACTTTGGTGAATACAT